CGCCAGACGGACAGAGAGAGACAGAGAGACAGAAAGCGAGAAATCACCCCCCGGGGGGATGGCCACGCCACAATCCCTTCTCCTCTATTCTCCTCTCAGGATCTTGGGCATGCACACACATGTACCCGGCGAGGGTTTTAAGCCACCGGGTCCAGGACACGAACCGTGGTCGACTATGTGGGAGTCCAGCGACATAGCCATTATGCTAACTGCTGGTCCCAGTATTTCTTCACATCAATATTTGTAGGAAGTTTTGGGGACCTCCCTTTGAAAACTATAGCTTCACCAAATGTTGGGATGAACTTGTCTAGGAAATTTGCTTTGAATGGTATGAATGTGTTTATGAGACATGGTGTCTCTGATGGATGAGAGGGACGCGAGGTGAGCAGTTAGGGACTGACTTCCCACAGAGCAATCCGATGTAGCCCTGACCATCTTATCTCCTTCATGAGCTCCTTTCCAACCCTGGGTGAGCATTCAGAAGAGAAGCCCAGTATCCATGCTAGTTCTGCATTTGCAGCCTCGGGACACTCTGAAACTATTCCAGGATCTTGGAATATAGGCAAGAGAGCTTTCTCCATGTTGAACACCTTTCTGGGAGGTGGAGGAATTAGGGTACCCAGGAGTGAGGGCTGCTGGAGATTCTTTTAGTTTGCTATCATAGGCACAAGCCAGCGATGCGAGACAGTCTCTAGGAAATACCCAACTGCCAGTCTCTGGTTCTGTGGCTGTAAGATATAAACAGTTGCCTTACACTGGTTGTCAATGTGTAAATTTCTTGCTCTATTAATAGACGATCACTTAAAATGTCTGGTGTATATAACTGAGTCCTGCGATAAATCACCATATAATCACTGTGTCAGGGAGGTTGATGGTGCACACAGATAAGAGGCTATCGGATCATCTATCTAATTGGGACAGTTACGTAATTACTTGAAAGAGGAAATTCAACACTTTGGGAAGCTGCATTTACTCAGTCTTGAACCATTATGGAGCCATTTAGCACGTCTAGAACATTAATTTGCTAAATGGAAGCCACGGAAAGAGTTAATGTAGCCTTGCAGCTACACACACGTCTCAAGGATGCAGCTGACACTGAGACAATCCGAAGGATCCGTTTTTATTGTTTTCTGGGGGCTTTGCAAGAAATCTGAAAAACGTACAGTTTCCGCATTTCCCTTCTCTGTTGAAACCCAGACAGGCTCATTATTTTTTTAAAACTAGACTTGCAGAAAGGAATTGGAAATTAATCAAGTATTAATAAAAGTACTGCTTTAGCAGTGCTTAGGTTAGTCTGAGACATACAGCAGCTGCTTTCTTCAATTGTCTACACATTTTTTACTAATGTCCCTGGGAATACACATCCTGGTTAAAAATTTAAAGCAAAATTATTAAGCAATTAAACAAAAGAGAAAAAAAAAAGGGCAATTCAACCTGATACAGTCCCAGGATTTTAAGTGATCCGCCGATAAAATCTCTTACCAGTCACTTTTAATTTTCTAAATTCTTCCATAAAGAAAGAAAAGGAAATGGAACAGAAAGAAGGGACTTGAGCACCAGTTTTAGATGCACATTTATAAAACAGGTTGCTTTAGTTTTTAACACAGTTCTTGGCGGAAATAAGGATGCCATGTGGCTTCAGTGTTTGAGATTTGAGGGTTGGATGTCAGAGGCCTGTCAAAGGCGAGGGGCCCCTCTTGGTTCTGTCCTGTGGAAGGCAACCAGAAGCTATTACAGATCCCGGTAATAGATCAGATCTCTTTCCCACACGTGGAAAGCGAACACAGCAGACAGCGCCGGCCAGAACAGGCACTCTTCTCTAGCTCGGAATAATCCTCATTGAGTTTCCCCATAGTACTTACGCTTTCCATACACTCTTTTGAATTTGAAACAGCCTTAGCTATACCTAGACAGGTATTCCTCACACAGCGTGTCTTTCCTCCCCCGAGATCCCTCGTCTGATACCCTCCTGGAGTATCAGAACGGAAGGGCCTGGGAGTCATGGTTTTGCCTGGACACAGAGTTACGTTCATTATAAAGAAATGGTTCAGAAGCTCATTCTGAAATGGCAAAGCTTGAATGAGGGTCAATAAAGCACCCAAACGAGAAGCCAGAGACCCATAGCTATCTACGGAAGAGAGTGAAAGCTGAAACTCATTTATTTGCTCGGTGAATCTGAAAGCAGCTCTGAGAAGCTCAGAGTCAGCTCCACACCAAGAGAACTCTGAACCGTCAAAGTGCCAAGACAGAAATCTGCACTAGCCTGCCGGCCCGCACGCACCCTGGAGCCAGCACGTGGCCCGCCGTTCATGTCTTCTAACCAGACAGAGGAGCCCCCAGAAACGCCCACACGGTTTGTATTTTTTGTGGGTAGGCAAGCAGAGAACTGTGAAATACCATTTACTATTCAATAATTTATTCTGTCGCCTAATTCAATACATTGGATTTGCTTTGGTGTGCATTCAAGTGTAAGAATTGTGGTTTCATTTTGGAGTATGAACTTTTAAAATAATACGTTTTTAGCAGGTGAGATCTTATTGGTTGCCCTGGAGTTTCATTAGCTAAAGAATTATGATATGTGGCAGTTGTTTCTGAAGCTGTATGAAGAGCAGCATGGGGCAGTCCCTGATACTAAGTGAAGACAGTAATGAGGCCTAGCAGTGTCATCCCACAAGGGAACTCCATGGGCTGGTTGAACATCCTTTCCACTGCCCAGCAAGTCAATAGAAGAGGGAGTCAGAGACAAAATGGCTTATTCCACGGGTAGTAAATAATTCTCCGGCTCATGAAACTTACCAGTCTAACTCAGTGATTTCAAAGCTGGGTTATAAACCATTTGATACCTACTGTAGTCTTCCTGTCACACCATCCGGTGGCATAGTATTGGCCATTTCTATGATGAATCACAATAGGGACATCATTACAAGTAACAGAGAGAAAAAACTGCTACCAAGAAGATGCTATCTCTAGTTTGCAAAATGAAGGTTCTTGTGCTTAAGAAACCATCAGTAGACCCTACAGAGTCAGCCTGCCTACTTCATTAGAGACTGATAAGAATCACAAGTTGGGAATCAGGTTTTCTTTCCTTAGAATCCTCTCTGAAACCAGGCACGGCAATGCTGTATTTTTTACTACACTTGCATGGGAGAGACATTTTTTTGTTTTTGCTTCTTAACACCAACATTTCCAAAGGAGGTGCTATCAATAGGGAGTCATTTTTGGTGTTTAATTACTTGAACAGCATGATCACCTGAGTAAGTCATTTTAGAAAAAGAAAAAGAGAATGATGCAACAAGTAAAACTGGATAAATATATTTAATACAACAAAAATATGAAATGTTAATATTGCCAGCATTCATTGTTGGTATTGAGATCTAAACTATCTTTTTTTTGGGGGAGAGAGGTTTTTGCTATTGGGTGTGTGCGTTTGCCAGAAAGACAGACAGACAAAGAGACAGAAAGCGAGAAATCATCCCCCCGGGGGGGATGGCCACACCACAATCCCTTCTCCTCCATTCTCCTCTCGGGATCTTGGGCACGCACGCACACGCACCCAGCGTGAGTTTAAGCCACCGGGTCCGGGACTCAAACCGTGGTCGACTACATGGGAGTTCAGCGACATAGCCATTACGCTAACTGCTGGTTCCAGATCTAAACTATCTTACAAAGCAAGAGTGCATTTATATATATTCTTTCAATGTAGCCTTTAAAAGAGCTAACCGTTTTAACAGACTTTCCTGTATAAATGAATATTCACCTGCCTCCATTTTGGGTTTATTCCTCTATTCCTTCACTCAACAAATAGCTACTAGGGGAATGCCATATGCAGCCTTCCAGGAGCATGGACAGCCCAAAGATAATGAAATAGTTTGCATTTTATAACATATTTCCACGTTTCATGTGGAACTCATACTGAGACATGCTTATGGTAAACTAAAGTTTGCTAAGGAAAAAAAATGCAGGCACATAAAATAAGTAATTTGAGCTAATTCTCTTTTAAAATTTCTTTGGAAGGCCCTGTGACAACTGTATTTTTATCAATAGGCAACTTTATTGATTTCAGGTCCACTTCCATCTGCTTCTATCCTATAAAAGCTTTAATTAATCTCAAGCCTTTTTAGGCACTAGGCTAGCTGGAAAGCTAGCCACGTAGAAATGGAAATTTAATTTCTCTGTGCCAACATTTGTGCAGAAGGATGGTGAGAGAGCACGCATCAGCTACAGGGGTGGGTATCATGCAAGTCAGAGAAAACATGCATTTCCTCAGTTGAGAATGGTCACCATCTTCCCAGTCTCTTTATGGTGCCAGTGAAACTCTGACCGCTGTCAAATCCTTTCTTTATCAACTTACCAGCTATCTTTATGAGGGCTAAATTAGACATGTAGACTATAATAATAGAACTGAAATGTCACCGTTATGTACTAATATCCTGGAAGTCTGCCAGCTCACCAGTGATAATCAAAAACAAAGGCAGAATGACAGGGTCTGAGAGGCCCGCGCTGCCTCTGTTAGGATGGTCACATCTAGCCCTTGGCCCAAGTCAAGATACGACATGCGGCATCTCGGTTGCCCAGGCTCTGAGTTTGGCTGTCGACGATCTAAATTTACACACACGTGCTGTTCTGTCCAAGCACAGAGGGGGCTTTTGCAGAGGCTAACGATGACACCCCTCTTTCTTTTGGTGCCCTTACTTTCAAAGTTTTTAAAGTGTCTGACCCTTAGAAAAGGTGGGCCCTTGCTCTTTTAAAGCCAAATCATAAGAATGTATAGAAAGAAGAAAACTTAAAAAAGATCTTCTGACCCGAGATTCCAAATTCCTTAGGTTAAGTGGTCTGTTCTGGATATGCTGTTTTGCAAAATGTATAAATATTTCCTAGAAACTTTCTTAGTCATATCTTTGTTGCAGCTACTAAAAGGAAATATTAACGAAAACACTGCTTTTTAAGAACAGTATGTCTGGGGCTGGCTCATCACGCAGTGGTTATGCCCACAGGGAGCCAGATCACCCATGGCCAACCCCAGTTCAGCTCCTGGCCTGGTGCCTTGACAGACGCACAGGAACGGGTGTGAGCAGGCCCCGCATCCTGACAGGATAGAAAAATGGAAGAAACAAGGATTGCTTCACCATATCACGGTAAAAACCACATTAAGGAACTCGATATTCGTTCCAGGTCTTTGCACTTGTCACCTGCCATCTCTGTATGTCTGCTTTCTCTCGTGGCTTGTGCCACCGTGACCCACCGAGGGGTACTCTCTCTGGCAAGCACACACACGCATGGCAATAAAACTCAATATTCCTGTTAGTTTTATTAGAGAAATTATTTTTCAAACAGGATTCGTATATACATATAAACATATATATGTATACTCTATATGTATATATATACATATATATATAAAGAAAGCACTAACAGGTGTTTGTGTGTGTGTGTGTGTGTGTGTGTGTGTGTGTGTGGGCATATTGCAATCTCTTCTTCTCTGTTCTCCTTTGGGGATTTGGGCACCTAAAAGCACCTGGTGTGTTTTTCAAGGTAGTGGGTCCAGACTCATATACAATCACCCCCAGCTGCCTGAACCACTACTCTGCTGGCTGGCCCTGGGAAGAGATTTTAATAATTATTTCTAGAATCGTTGCCTTTACTGAAATTTGTGTGGATACAAGATTTAATAGCTAGACTTTAAATATGGTGTATAATGAGCTCATATTAGTAAAAAGATTATTGCGATAGTGTTTGATATTTAAAAGCTTTCATTCTCTAAAAGAACGCTTTCCCATCATATGCACAAGACTGGCTTGCGCAACCCAACTCTCCCTCAGCATTCCTCCCG